CTACCAATTTGAATATGCTTGGTTCGGCGGTGCTTCCGCAGGGTCCACATCAGCTGGTCCAGAATGAGGACAATCATGGCGATCGAGTCAAGGACAAGGAAGACCATCTTATAGACCAAGGGATGAGGGAAAAAACTAAGCTGAAGCCCATCGATAGTGCCTATGGCAGCGCAATAGGACCGTGGGCTCGGGTTGCCTCCACAAGATTCAATGTTGCTCTGGCTCTTAAACAGTTCGAAGGCGGCACGAAAACGAACCTTTTGTGTAGCAGCGACGATAGCAAGGACGTACTCGGCGCAAAATCCAAGAAAGGTGTGCCAGTTTCGGATCCCTTCGTTGTGAAGACATATTTGGATTAGAAACATCGGCAGCATGCCGTTCAGCGAAATGTGGTAAGCAACGGCGGCATTAAGGATGATCTCGCCCCAGAACGTGCCCTCTTGAGAGTTGACCACAATCTGGAGAATGGAGGCGATCTGAACGGCGAACACAAACCAACACTGCGCTTCCTGAAATTCGACCAGAGTAGATGCAATAGCCACGCTGGTCCGTGACATGGCAGAATTGTCAGCCCAGATCATTGTCTTGATACGGGTCAGAGTGAAGGGCTTCCGCTTGCGCGGCTTCTCGGAAAACTGTATGTAAAAGGTGAATAATTTGACAGCAAGATAGAGGGCAATTGAGAAAGAAGCCTGAAGAAGATATGAAATGAGAACCTAGAGAGGGAAGATTGTAAGCGACTAAGTTGGTTCTTGAGAGAAATGACACTGCGAATCCCACCACGGCCTCTCGTCAACTTACGCCAGGCCCGAAGATATCAGGGTTGATCTCGGCTTCAATAGATGGGCAGAAATTTGCCATGGCAGCAAATATCTCTGCTGAGCTAGACTTGTCACTGGAGAGGCTTCTAATTGCCCTGTCACAGGGCACAGAGAGTCCGTCTTTGTCGCACGACTCTTGGGCACAGCCAATGAATAAATTGAGGACCGAGCGGTCGTCAAACGTAGCGAGAGTTCCCTCGCCCATGATTGCGCTTGCATTATTCTCTGCCTCGTCGCTGATGTAGTAGAAGCTAGTGTTTCTTGCCCAGTACGAGATAGAAGCGAGCGCAGCACAGTTGTAGAAGGTCTCGAGCGACCCGAAGAAATGGGTAGTGTCATTACATGCGATTGGGCAATTCCGGGCGCCGTCATCTAATTCGCAACCTGTACTAAACAGCATGATGTCCTGGCTACCGTCGATACCATCCTCTATGAGGTCCCGGAGAGAAAAGAGGTCATTGGACGCGGAGCCGTCGCCAGGCCCCGTGTTGAGCTGCGCCAGATCATCGAATGGGAAGAAGTCGGCAGCACCCCGGATCCCATCATACAGAATCACACTGAGGGGAGCTGGTGAGTGCGAAACTGCATCGGCTGTGACCGCCGCCATCGCTGTCGTGAGAGTAGCGGCGGTGATGGCGGTGGGTGACACATCTTGCACTGAGACAAGGCTCGTCATGTCGGAATCAAATCAGCCGCCGCTCATCAATTCGGCAAGACTCTGAGCTCCAAGCCGTTATGTCGCTCGCTATGACCCGACACGAGGCTTGTTTGATGAGATGTACGCTTCCTGTATCCTAGCCCAGGTCATGTTCAATCCCGACGAACAAGGTTGAATTCAGGGCAAGGGTAATGGCCTGGGCTGACGCTTGTCTTTGTGCACTTTGATTCAGCTTACCACCTCGACGGTAAGGCGCAAACAAAAGGAGGGTCGGTCTCGGTGAGAAATTTATGTGATCGACCATGCTAATCTGATAGAAGGATCCAATCGAGCCTTGTTATTGTCATAGCCACTATAATGACCTATTTCCACGGCCAGTGGGGTCTTGGCTCTTCCGCCGCTTCCAAGCCCATCTGACATGCTCCCACAACCCGCGGCATTTCATCAAGGTGCCAGATGGGACAATGGCATGGCTTGGCTAAGCAGCCTGTGGAACCTTTGTTGTGGTAGCAGCCCTTCAATTAAGCTTCCAGAGTTCAGGCTAGACGACACGCGACACAGCATAATGCAACGTCCCAGAGATGACATCAATCGAACCGGCGAATTTGTCGGCTTGTGGGGGGACCAGGATTTCCCCGCTGCTTCATCCAGCCTGCAGCTAACAGCATTGTCTGATGTAATAGATGACTGACCATAAGGCTGGTTTAGAAACTACGTAGTTATTAATGGCCGCCCAGGCACATGATGTATCCATCAAAACACCAAAAAGGCGAAAGTCATTTGATTACCTACGAATAGTAACAAGTAGATACACTTAGAACATCACAGCTATGTTTTTCTAAATCGTATCCCCGGCAACATCACTCCATACTATTAAACAAGCTTACTGAGCGACTCTATACTGGGGTGCCTATGAGATCACGTTCATTTGTTGATTTAAAACCCAAAATATCGTTGAATAACCTTGATCTTCCTTCTTTTTACCATATACTATCTATCTCATTCATAAGCGAGAAGAAGGGTTGTCACAGAGGGAGGTGGTATAGGGTAAGCCAGTTCTCTGGCCAACCAAATAGGTAGCTAAAAGCTATCCTGGTTGTTTAGCATTTACCCTTCTACACCCAAACGAAGCAGGTATCAGCGGTCACTTTCTATCAATTGGCCTACTATATTTCTCACCTTTACATTGTATAATCTGACTCCATTCGTACACAATGGCTTCCGACGACGAGCACGGTAGTCATCGGCGCAGACGCAAGGACGATCTTGATGATGATCACGAGAGGTCATCTCGCAGAGACAGGCGCAAGGATTCAGACCGCCACAGCCACCGCAGGAGATCAAGAGACCCCCGCGATAGAGACGAAGGCCGGGATAGGGAGCGAACCCGTGACCGTCGACGCTCCCGCACACCAGAGGAATCCAGCAGACGCAGACGAAGCCGCGACAGAAAACGAGATCGAAGCCGAGACCGCGACGGAGACGAAGATCGCCATCGCAGGCGGAATCGCGAAGATAGAAGCCCTAAGCGCCGACACCGTGGAGATGATGACCGAGAAGACAATGATCGCAAACGCAAACATGAGGGAAGAACAAGCCCGCTCAGGAGGGACGGACCTCTTCCTTCCCAAGACGATGCTTGGGCGGTTACAAACGGCGAGGAGCCAGAGAAGCCAAAGGAGAAACCCAACTTTGGAAACTCTGGTAAGTTAGCTGCAGCCTCCAATTCAGTCACTCAAGCCGACGGGTCGAGCATCGCCCTCAAATACCACGAGCCAGGAGAGGCACGCAAGCCTTCGCCGAAGGACCAGTGGAAACTGTTTGTTTTCAAAGGCGACGAGGTTCTGGATACGATAGACCTCGGTTTACGAAGCTGCTGGCTGGTTGGCAGAGACGTGGCTGTGGTAGACCTGCCTGCGGAACATCCCAGCATCAGCAAGCAGCATGCGGTCATCCAGTTCCGGTACACAGAGAAGAGGAACGAGTTTGGAGACAAGGTCGGCAAAGTCAAGCCGTACATCATCGACCTGGAGAGCGCCAATGGGACGATACTGAACGAGGAAAAGATACCGGACAGCAGATATTTGGAACTCCGGCCCAAGGATATGATTCAATTTGGAGACAGCACTCGCGAGTACGTGATGATGCTGGCGCCAAGGGACTGAGACTGTGGGCCAACTGGACCGGTACACGAACGCTTTTCAACGGCTTAACGGAGGAGGACGAGGATTTGCCTTACGAGACACACATCACATGCAAATGCCGGCGCAGTAGAAACCGGGGATATCTTGACGGGTTTCTGAGCGTATTTGCGCACGTCATCGCGGCTCTTTGACGCGAGATGCACTCCGACCTTCCCTTGACTCGAGCATTTATTGCCTCTAGTACGATACACCGGCGACGTGTGTGATGGTAATCCATAGTTTGTATGACCTCGGGTTAAGAACTTCACACCGTGGAACGAGTAGGAAGACAAGAAATGACCATTCCAAGGCCTCAATGCACGGGCGGACGGACATGCACCGAAGCTCAAGCCTCAAAGCTAGTGGAACGGGTGACAGCCAACAGTGGAGTTCTCACGGGAGTTGAAAAGACCCGGGCTACGGTATCAGAGTTGGCATGACCTGCCGGGGCCACGAGGCAGACGGGGGCCAAAATTGATGATCTGAAGTGTTGCTGGTGCCGAGTTCCCGCGTCTCGGCAGCCTAAATCTCCTAGAGCCTATGTAGGATCCAATAAACGGACCGCTCGACGCCTGTTGTGAACTCTATCTTCGGTCCTTTGCGGAACCCGTGCCTCCCCGTCCACGCCTCTTGGGACGAGATGACTCCTTTCCTGACGAACCTGTGATGCAAGCCTCATTGTGCTGCTTATGCCACGCCTCCGTGATCGCCCAGACCAGGTGCAGAGCGTGCAGCCTGGAACGGCAATAGGCTTGGAGACAAGAGAAAGGCAACCAGTGGCAATGCTTGATCGCGACTTTGGTCAATCACATGATGTTCGTAGGACTGTTCCACTGCCTACATCCAACACGAACGGCGCCTCCGCGGGGCATGCCAAAAGCAGGAAGAAATTATAAACTGTGTGACATGCCCGCCTTTCGTCTCTCTACGCAACGTCTGTACTTCTCTCCCCCCACCCCGCCGCCTAGGTAGAACATCACGCAGTAGCTTTTACTCACACTCTCCGTAAGCGAACTGGTCCAGTTCAAGGCCGTGCCAAGTGCTCAGTGTCGAATCTTCACGTTCTTCCGGGGCAGGCATCTTAAACCTTGCTCCTCCTCTTTCGTCAGTGTATTGTGCGTGGGCGTACGAGTAAGAAAAAGCACTGCCTCGTGTGATGGATGATGGTAGAGCCTAGAAATATAAAACCTGCCTCTTATCTGTTCTTTCAAACACTCATTGCGTCAAGACAAGGGCATATCCTATAGAATTTTTTCAATCACATTTCTTGTTCTGTGTTCTGTATACCAACCACAACTTGCTATTCAACCTCTCACCTCAGACGCAACCTCATTTGCAATGCGCCGGAGAGACAGAGGTCCTGGAAGTGACCATAGCCGCCCTGGCTCTGCTCATTGTGCCCAGGTCTCCTCGTCCTCCAGCCACCTCATTAACCACGGCATCGAGAACCGCACGATATCCCGCTACGAGACCACGGCCGTGTACACCCACCCGAACGCTGAGGTGGACATCGTCCTCGTCCACGGACTCAACGGAAGCCCCGAGAAGACATGGACGGCTAGCAACGGCATATTCTGGCCGCTTGACCTCCTCCCCGGGTCGCTCAAGGGTCTCCAGGCCAACGTCCTCGTGTACGGCTACAACGCCGACGTCTATTCGGGGCGAATCGACCGGAGCGCGAGCGACAACTTCATACACCAGCACGCCCAGACCCTCGTGACCAGTCTCACCCTCTTCCGCCGAGGCGAGGGCACGTTCAAGAATCCCATCGTCTGGGTCTGCCACAGCCTGGGCGGCATTCTCGTCAAGCGGGCTTTGCTGTACTCCAACGACGTTTTGCACCACCACCAGATCTACCGCTCGCTCTACGTCTCGACCTTTGGGCTCATATTCCTCGGCACACCCCACGCCGGCGCGGACGTAGCTTCGTGGGGGCTCATGCTACAAGCCATGTCCGACGTTGTCATCCCCCGCCGCTTCTTCGAATCGGAGTCGGTTCTGCTCAGAACCCTAAAGAAAGACAGCGAGACGTTGGCGAACATTAACAACCACTTCCTAGACATCTACCAGCGGTTCAGGATCCATATGGTCCACGAGAACCATAAGACCGACATCAAAGGCACAAAGTTGGTATAACCCCATAACCCCCCCCAAACGCATGTTGAGTGTGGCAGTGACTAATATCTTGTACTATCGTCTCACAGGATCATCGTGGTGGACGCAGATTCTGCAAGCCCTCAGTTGCCGGGTGTCACCTATTATGGCGTGGAGGCGACACACTCTCAGCTTTGTAAGTTCGCTAGCCCCAGCGCCCCGGGGTTCAGAGCCCTGTCAACAGATATCCGGGAATGGATTATCGAAGCGCCCGCTGTGATCCATGGGCGCTGGAAGGCCGAGGAGGAAGATGCCAATAGACGAATGAGAAACGAGATTCAGGAGCATATTTTCCCGTTGGTGAGTAAACCGCTCTCTGGTTATGCGGCTCATGTTTCTGACGCATGTTCTTGAAACTAGGTTACGGAGACAGACGTACATCGTGAAGACGTGCCAACGGCTGCCATGCCTCGATATCAAGGCAGACTCATTGCTCCACGCGGCAAAGATACTGCCAGATGGTGGGTGTTCCTGCAGGAGGCTGACGGAGTACATGGTTTCAATGCTGATTGATTGGCCCTTTCTCAGTTGTTTTGCTAATACAGGGAGTAGCGAGTGAGGCTCGCGTACAGAATGTGATGCCCTGTTTTGTATGTTGCATAGGACTCGGGTTGGCTTTCTCAAAGGGATCAAATCAAATGATATGCATTGACGCTGACATGGCTTCGCTCTGATGTTGTTTGATGTATTCACAGTATAGTAATATTGAGGAGAGGCGTGACGGATTTTGCGCCGAATTTCTGTTCGTAGTAAAATCGTTCAAAGCCACTCCGGCTTGTCGGATCCTAAGGGCTTAGGCATAATGGTGAATCCTACTTCAGCACCTTCAATCCGAGCACTGTGTCTAATGGATTGAAGCATACCGAACTCCGAGTTTCTCAGCTCGTAGTATTCGAGAGGAATATCATCAGGCTGATCAAAGTCTTTCACCTTGAACCCAGTAGACCCTGGATATTGACCCAAGGAGCGGAGGTACTTCATAGTCCCTGCTAGGGATACGTCGACACGCCATGAGCCGCCATAATGGAATTTACGGTAAAGTGCAGCCATCGCCCCAGAGGCAAGCAGATAGCCTGCGGCGTGGTCGAGGACCTGGCAGGGAGCAGGCCTGGCGATCTCGCCCTGTCCATGATGCTCGGCCTCAGAGACATTCATCCCGGAGCACGTTTGGACAAGGGAATCGAAACCTCGTCGTTTCGACCAAGGGCCGCGGGTGCCAAAGGCTGACAAGTTGGCGACGACGAGCCCGGGGTTCAAGCCAGCCAGATCCTCAGGCCCCAAACCATACGCCGCCAGAGCTCCCGGACGGAAGCCTTGGATGAAGATATCAGCTTTCTTGAGAAGTCTCAAGAGTTTTAGCCTTTCTTCGGGTACATTTAGATCAAGCTGAACAGTACGCTTGCCACGGCTAAATTCACGGTCCAGGTAAGGCAGATCGGGAAGATTGGGTGACGTTACCCAGATGACATCTGCTCCGTGGGCAGCCAAGGTCTTACCAGCCACAGGAGATGCTATAACTCGGGACATTTCGACTACACGGATTCCCTTGAGGCACATTGGACTCGGGTTTACAAGTCGTTTTGGGAGGCCCGCGGTGCCGTTTGTTGAAACCAGAGAGATCTCGATCGGGAACGTGTTGATCGCCTTGGCCTGAGGCAAAACGTCCCACTGCTCGAAGCTCCTCAGAGCATAATTAGCAAGCTTGAGCTCCGTCAAAGAGACTGTTTCAAGGTCAATAGCTGCCCAGCGACGGAGTTTCTCAGCCAGCTGCTCGCGAGTTGAGCCTTCAGGGAGCCCCGCCAGTTTCAGCGTGCCAATCGAATGGTTGGGGAAACCATCGTGAACACGGACGTAACCGTCAGAGGTTTTATGCAGCCCTCCTATCGGGATACTTTCTGATGTTGGCCGCTGGCCATCGAGCAGATAGAGGCGCTCTGACTTGAACTCAATGACTGCATGTCTTCGCGTGACCTCGACCCTTGGCACAAGACTTTCCGAGCGCAAGGCCCAAATCTGGGCAGCGGCAAGAGCAGAGAGGGCAATTGCACTCTGTGCAAGGATACCAATCTTGAAGGACGATGGGAGGCTCGGCTGTGCAGTGTCACCCGGGAGCTGGAGGGCAGCCAACGCCTCTATGGGCAGCTCAAGCCCAATCCAGAGCTCCTGCACAACGTTCTTGGCGAGGAAATTACTGCGGTCAGGGATCTCAAAGACATCGTCCTCTGAGTTTGTCATGCTGCCTGTAGGCTTAGTTTCCGCGGAGGCATACTGATGGGTGCGCACAATTGAAGCTGGTCCGAGACTCCACCTGTGACTGCTCCAGCGCCAGATCTGTTGCTACTGTGCTGGAACATGAATGACTAATCTGTGGCCCCATTGAGGAGACCAGAACCAGTCAAATAATTGTGTTAATTACATGTGCACCTTGGCAGTCAACGAGACTTTGGTTTATGTGCAATACAGATTATTATGAATCTTTCCCTGCTCCATGCACTCAACCATGGGAGAAGCAAGGCCCTCGGCTTACTCCACTGCAGAGTAGAGGATCAGCAGGGGAAACCCCGAGGGCTGGTTCGACGACACATGTCCAAGCTGGTAGACAACCGTATCAGTGACCGCAAATACGGTAAATGTCATCCGTGAACGTTAGCACGGTACGGATGAGAGATTCACTCACGCCGGGCAGTGTATCTAATGTTGGTTGTCCGATTGATATTTGATGCCAGACCGACAACGGAGTGGCGATGGCCAGACCGCTGATCCTCCTATCGCTCCGTTCCCCTGCCAATCTGTAGAGCTGAATGTGAGGATATCCAGCCACGGGCTGACGAGAGCGGCTCAGTGATGCCCGAAGCCGTGCGCGCCCAAAAGCATCCCTTATCTTGTACAACTGGCGTGATTCTAGATCCTCGAATTGCCATCAGACTCCGGCGGTGAGCAAAATCCCGGTCTGCTTTCCTTGCTTCTCACATCGACTGCTCACATCGTATAGAATTTGTCAAGTGGATAGTGCGGAACTAACACTGCACCATCTGCCGTGGTGAGACACATCATCCCCGAAGGCTATTCTAGATGTGAGATACCATGCGAGGTCCCAGTCTAGCAACGCGATAGATAACCCTTCGGGCGTCTTTCTGTCTCAGTTTGAGACAATATGCATGTCTAGGGAATTTAATAAATTTCTGCTGCAGGGTGTGAATCACCCCGTGGCCGTTGGAACCATAAAGGTGCATTTCCGACTGGTACCCTGCATATACATCAAAGCAAAGAGGCGCGCCCGAATGATATCAATGTATGCACTCATGATAGGTACTGACCGATGTCTTGCAAATGAAACCATCAATGGCGCACACAGGTGTCGGTATTGCGAGAATCACATGGCAGGGTAGCTGCCGAGACAAGGTCGATAGTGTCCACTATCAAGCCTCATGCACTTTGGATGAGCAAACAGCCGTTGATAGGAGAAAACGCGTGGAACACTCGCGATATCACCCTCGCACCACTCACACACCCAGAAGCCGGTCTAATTGTTCCCAGACTGCCTCTCGCGGCCTGCACGGTCGGTTGGAGTCGTGGTCGAGCCAAATCCGAAGTCCGGCGTTGAGGGCGTGGACTCGGCCGGATCCGAGGTGACGTGTGTGCTCACGAGCCCCGGTAGTGGAACTCCCGCGGAAGGTCTTTGTTCTAATTCTCGAATTTTTCTCGCGGTGTTCGTGGATCTCACGATGCTCGCCAGTGGGGTTTTAGTGCGCGTCCCACACCCCAAAAAATCGATCTGATCTGAATGGATCTGATGCGCAGCAACGTCCAGGGATCTAGATTCAGTAAAAAACGGACGTCTGTCAGTTTTCAACATCACGGAAAGGGTCCGTATCAGACTCTAATCGCCGAGCCAAAAAAAAAAAAAAAAAAAAAATGTCAGCCACTCACATCTCACAGCGACCAACCATCACAACCTTGCCTCTTCACACCGATGGTCGGAATCGCCCCAATCAATTGTACGATCGGTAAAAATCGGACCACCCTCTGCGACCCAAGTTTCTGTTTGGTGTACAGGCTCGCTGCAACGCAGGGTGAGAATCCCCCTCGGCCTGTACACTGTACGTAACCGTCGATACTGTGTGCAGACAACAGATGAGAGAACTCTCAAAGGTGGTCCACCGGATGACGCATGGCGTTTCGGGCATAAGGAGAGGCCAATCAGCTGCGACCAAGCCGGCAGCCAGCGATGAGGCGAGATCCGTTCACGTTTTCGTATCTCGCCTCTTGTGTTTTCGTGGCGTATTTTCTCCCCTTGGCCAGCCGCCTTGACCTCGAATTAGCTTGACAAGGGACGCGGGACAAGGCCTTTTCATGGATGGCGGAGAAAACAAACCAGTTAGGGTGTAACCTCCGAATGAACTAGTCGTTGGTGGTGGTTACATTCATGCATTAGAGGGTCCACATTACTATTCAGACACAGCCCCTCTTCCTTTTTTCTGTCTCACAAGTAGAATTGGACCGGACGAATCCCTTGCTGAGGACGTTGATGGTGTGTTAAGTCATGGAGTCTATTCGGTCTATGCTATGTAGAGACGCGAGGCAGAGAGCGTCACGCGTCTATTCTAATCCTGCTGCCTTTTCAGTTCGGTGCGACCAGCTTCCGAATCCCAAGAAATGATATGACCTTAGAGATGCAAGCAACCCTGATGGTCGGCGCCATGAGTCTGGCGACCAAAGCATCAAGCTCTGGCGCGGGGATATCTAGAACGTCTCACTGGAGTTCCCAGGTTCATAAATGCGGACAAGAGTTTAAAAAAAAAAAGTCTAAATGAGAAGTATGGTCGTTAAATTTCGTTAGGTCGTTCAGTCCTGGGACTTGTGCATGCTGCCGGTGACGTAGTTCTCCTCAAGCTTGTCGATGATGGCGACATCCTGAGGAGTAAGCTGGAAGTCAAAGCTGTCGAAGTTGCTCTGGATGCGGTGGGCTGTCAAACTCTTGGGGAGGACAACATTGCCGCGAGCGACGCTCCAGTTGAGGAGGATCTGGGCAGGGGTCTTGCCGTACTTCTCGGATAGACCGACAATAGTAGGATCCTCGAGCTTGTTACCACGAGCAAGAGGGGAGTAAGCCTCAATCTTGATGCCGTGCTTGCTACACAGGTCGACGAGAGCCTGGCGCTGGCAGAAGGGGTGGATCTCGATCTGGTTGACTGCTGGCACAACGGTGGCGTTCTGGATCAGGTTCTCAATGTGGCCAGCACCGAAGTTTGAGACACCGATAGACTTGACCTTGCCAAGCTTCTGGGCGGTCTCCAGAGCACGCCAGCTGGCAAGGCGCTTCTCCTCGTCATCAGCGGGAGAGTGGATGAGATACAGGTCGAGATAGTCGAGACCAAATTTGTCAAGAGATTCGCAGAGGGCGTTGAAGGTGGCCTCGTAACCATGGTCAGCGTCCCAAAGCTTGGAGCAGACGTAGACCTCCTCACGGGGAGTGCCAGTCTTCTCGAGCCAGCGGCGGATAGCACGACCACAAGCCTCCTCGTTGGCGTAGCGGGCGGCAGAGTCGATGTGGCGGTAACCGGCGTCAAGGGCGGCAGTGACAGCGTCCTCGGTCTCCTGGCCGTTGGGGGCCTTGTACACACCGAGAGCTACCTGGGGGATGAAGTTGCCATCGTTGAGCTTGACAGAGTTGCCGCGAGGGCGGGAAGGGTCGACGATAACCTTCGTGACAACTCCGGCCTGGCGCTCGAGGGAAACTGCAGAGGGAGCCATTGTGATGTAGTGTGTGAGAGAGAAGAAGCAACGCTGTCTAGAGCTTAGGAATGAATAATTGTTGAGGAAAGTAAGGGATATCAGAAGATGGAAAGTGCTTGTCTTTGATGAGGATTGAAGAAAGAGATTTTGTTCGTAGCGAACCCATGGACATCTTTTATACTTGAAACGTGACGTAACCGGCAACCCAAGCATCATCATACTGGCCTACACACCCATCATACCTGAGGTCGCTGCTGTCTGAGATCCTTGGCTGGCCGTGATTGCCGCCGGTATCATGTCGTTTGTTACTGTCTTGTTCTCACGCCGGCGTGTTGACTTGTGGGTCTTGATGGAGTAAGTCGTCGACACCTCCGTCGCGACGTCTGGCACAACAGATGCGCAGTTACGGAGCTATTGTGGGCACTTGTGGATGCTTTTGTGATAAGAAGTACTGCGTTATTTATCAATAGATCCAGTGTTTTTGTTTTCGTGTCTCCAGTCCGTGCTGATGGCGATATGCTGATCCTGCAAGTATCCCTTGACCTCGTATGTACCTTTCTATGCAACCATAAATTCGAGGCTAGGCACAGGGCAAGGCATCAAAGCCTTTGGGTCAGTAACTCTCCGAAGGCACATGGCAAATCCGGGGGGAAGCTGGCTCTTCCTAGCAGGTGAATCGACACATTGAAACAGCGCAAACCAGAATGGTCGGAGAGAACGTGCCTGGACTTGGTTTGTCTCAGATTACTATCTAGAGAGCCACGGTGTCGGCGTAGTAATGAACTGTGTCAAAGGACAATTGATATGGATGGCACTTCGAAGCTGGAAGGATGAACGTGTATCCAACCGCTCCCAGGTATCTCGAGCACAATGACGAAGATGGTGGGACTGGATAAGACGCCGACGGCAAGGCCCTGACTAGCCGCATCGGAGGTCCGCTTTTGACGTCCAATGGGCCCCTGAGCAGCGAGAGATTGGCGCAGAGATTTCGAGACGTTCCTCTCTTGACGGAAGTATATTTTCTGGTAAGCAAAGGGTCGAGCATTCCTATTCGTTGTTGACCTGAAAATTTTCCCTTCCGTTTCCCTTCCGTTTCCTCCGTTTTCGCAGGGGGTGAAGCCACCCCGTACGTCTCTCGACCTTATCCTGGGAGGAAGGTGACTTATCGCTGAAAGCTCTTCATACAATGGAGCATATGTCGTAGTGCTCCAGCCTGTCCGTGCGACGAGGTGAAGCACACCCAGTTCCAACATCATAGTTTCCGCTCTTATTAATAAAAAAAATATATATATATATAAAAAGAAAAGGCACCTCTCTCCCCATCCCATCGTGAAGCTGCAGCCTAGAGGAACTGGTGTGCGCGGTGGGAGCGGTTAGCTATGGCCCGTGGGACCCTGCAGCCACAGCTTACCGACTGGCTCGGCAAGGGGCCAGCCAGCGTTACATGCTAGGGCGTGCTTGGCGGCCCAGGCCAATCCGCTGTGCCTGAGGGCTAGAGTACGGGCATGGCATGGCACGAGGCGCGTGAAGTCGGTGGGCTGGGCACTGGGTGCGGCCTTGCGGCTGAGCGAGGTGGGAGCAAAAACGGAGCTGGACGGTGTCCAAAGCGCATGAACGGGACTGTGTTTGCGCCATACAGGCACGGCAAACCACACCGTGCAGACCCCATCACTCGCATTGGCCCCCACTGACCGGCGTGCTGCTCTGGCCTGGCTCGGTTTCGAAATGACGGAGCGAGTCACTGCCTCAGTTCCGTTTGGCCTGCTCTGGCTGCTCCGTCGTCTGTATCTTTTCTCTCCGTGTGCACGCACAATCTGACGTCACGCAATCCACCAGGGCTCCAGTGCAATTCCACTAAATTTGCTTCAAGTGTAGGTATTTCTCCATCTGCCAACGCGCATGGCAGCGATAATATTATGTGGAATGTCTCAGATGCACATCCTCTCCACCGAATTACACACTCGCAGGGGCCGTCCATGCACGGTGACATTGAAGGGTGCTGCACTTGCACGTCCCGTTTGCCCAGCCGGCGGTCGCCAGGGCTCGGTTCCCAATGCCGATCCTTTTGGCAAACGCCAGACGAGGAACGGTCGCAGATGGCTGGGATGAATCAGTTCCGGGAGGCGGACCAGAGTGTTGCGGCCGCCATGGCATCATCGGGTTCACTGATCATCATTGCCAAGCATTTCCCTTTGCAGACCGCCCAGACCGATGTGTATCCCTTGCATGTGAGATCCTGGATCGACCAGGCCGCCAGATAAGCCTAAGATGACAGGACAGGCCGTTTGAGGGCCGAGATCGTTCAGCCATAGCCTGCCTTTCTTTAGATTGCCGGACGTGGCTCTGGTCAGGATCTCCCTGTTTCTTGATACACATAGTCTAGCACTAGTCCAGCCATCTCATTGCTTCGCCCTTGGCTCTTCGAGAGGGCATCCATACATGGACATAGGTGCATGCTGCTCGTGCGGCAGATCAGCCCCCTGTACATTCTGTTCAACCCTCCATCTGCAGGTGAAAGCCCAAAAACAGGCAGGGGAGAAGAAACCTTCTCAGATTGGTAGTGCATGGTAGAGCAGCACCCAGCCCTATTGGTTAAGGGACCCTGGCTGTCTTGGCCTCGAGTATACCATACAATTCCTAGTGGTGTGACTGAAGCAGGTGAATACAGTTGTCTCACTGTCTGTCTCGCCCTTATCAGCCTGGACATCCAGTCATCTGCAATATCGTAGCCACCCTTTTCAGCTTACCCAATAGTCACGGCAGCTGAGATAAATCGATGGCCACTGCTCAGCAGCTAATAACTAGTCCACATGTGCATAAGTGAGGTGCACAGTTACACGCACTGCAGATGGCGCAAGCGTCGAGGGTTTATTGAAGCAGTCTCACCAGCCAGCCTCCTCCCATTCGATGATAGATCAACCGGTCTCCATTATGCATCTCCACCGGCATCCGGGCTCAGCTGCTACTTCGAGACATGCTGCCAGTAGGCATGTTGGCACGGTAGGGTATTTTCTCGTTTGCTTCTTCGGGTCGCAGGAAACGGAGTGGATAACGATCCTTGTCCTGATGGCCTTGTTGCTATTTCTCCCATCTACAGCATGCGCTAGCTATTCTTGAGTAAGGTACTCTGGCCGGCTCTCTGCAGGTTCGATTCGCTTGGATGATGTCTTGGCACAGAAAACATGTCATCATGCTACCTCCACCATTTTGTGCGATAATGGCGCCTATTTTCACATTTACAAATGAGTCCCACAATGCATCTCAAAGCGGTGGTGATCCTCGCTCTTCCATCTGAGAAGAGGAGACAATAACTGGGACTGATGGTTCCCTGCCATTCTAGGCACGGTAGGAGAGTGGAAACTCACATCATCCTCCGTCAAGAAGTGAGAAATGTAACCCGAAGATGGCTTGGCATCAAGCTGTTGGATTGCCCAACTCTCCTCTGGCCCCTTTCTCTCGCAGAGCAGTGTAGACGCCGCCTCAGCATCTTACAAGGGCCATGGAAATCCGTGTTACTGGACGGCTGTGCAGCTTCACAAGCGAGAGATCTAGGTAGCTGAACTCGTATCCAGGAGCTGCTGTCTCATGCCGTTCAGCAACGATACCGAGATATATGCGCTTCCAGAGTTTCATCTTACGAATCAGCCGGTATGACCTCAGCTAATAGCCAATTCTGTCAGGTCACAGGCATTAAATTGAGTATATTCGCCAACTCTTGCCTGGGTCATGTCGCGAATTCGCACCAAGGACGCCGTCCATGTCTCAAGAAATTGAGATTCTCGGAATAGGCTTTCTATGCGAAGCCTTCGATCAACAATCGATAGTCTTCAATAGGTAGGTATAATAAAGGGAAGGCCTCGTCAACATCCCGTTGGATCGTGGGGAAAATCAAGACAGTGTTTCTTGACGACGAGTTGTCTTGTCTTCCTCTGGCAAACTGGTTCAGCTTACTATTTCCAATCATGCAAGTCGGACGAATCATCGGAGCTGCTCTGCTCGCCTGGGAAGTGAATCTGGTGGCAGCCTGCTCAGGAGATAATTGTGCCAACCATGTCACTGGGCAGTGGGCAGGGATTGGCGTCCCCATCGAGTCACGCATCTCGATGTGCAATTCCTTCTTGAGGGTGACAATCGTGCCAAACACGACGTAAGCGAAGGCGGTTTCTCCATATCCTAGGATTTGACTCATCAGACTGACTCGCCGCAGAACAATCACTTCCACGATCTTCAAGTACACAACGACGAATGTTCGTGGCGTGGTTGTGCGGGATGAGCCTACAAACAGCAGTGGCTCCAAGCTCTCGTCCTTCAGGGCCAACGCTACCGAAACAGTCCCGTATTCTGGCTATGATCAAACTGTGGTCCCCAGCATGGTCCCCACCTTTGCCACGAGTCAATGCCCAGAGCCAGGCCGGTTCTCGTCAGCTTGCTCGTGCTGGGCGAGCGTAACCGCGAGCACTACCACGATGTCGGCACCGACCGTCACAGTCACGGCCACCCGGGTCGACGATGTGGGCTGTGGACCAGCCGCCACAGCTGTTGCTCCCGGAAACGGGTCATACTTCCCATGCTCGAGGCAATGGGGGACTTGTAGCTGCCTCAAGTCTGGCAACCAGGCGGTTTGCGTACGGGTCGGGCCTTATCTCGGCGACGGGAGAAACATGACAGGCCCGTGCGGCGATTTTGACGAGTGTGACTCGGACGGGAACTGTAGAAATGGCTATTTGTGTGTATTTGATGCGTCTTGTGAGTGTGGGAGGAGGCGCTGTTACCGGGCTGCTCCTAAGGGTTGTGACTATCAGGGTCTTCCACCTGATGAAGTCAATCTGAAAACGCAACTCGGTCTTTGAGAGTCAAGACCTCTTATAGAGGGTTCTGGCCTGGGACCATTGGTTTTTTTCTTCTTCTCTGAGTTGATTGAATGGCGCCTTGTTTTTGCAGTTGGAGTGCCGTAACTCTCTCATATCCTGCAATAGGGTTCCTCCGCACACTTCTTTTGGCAGCGAATAATCAATCCGATGTAACCACATCTTCCTCGGCGTACCTAAGGTGCCTTCTCACACCTGGCAACAACTTTTTGCGGCTGAGTAAGGCCGATACTGCCTTACAGTGGCTATCATGTAACACAACGGCAGGCGTGATGCTCTCTGCTGACCACTAGATAGGCGATCCCTTCCCCGCCGCGGGACAAGGCGCACTAAGCTGAAAGGAAGCAGCAAATGATCTCGTGTGAGCAAGACGGCGTAAATTAGGAAGCCATTTACCACTCCTCCGCCACATGTGGGAGCGCCTTCAATCAGGCACCAGCCTAGGTCAGCTCTGTCTAGGGAGGGAGGAGGGTTGGGGCAGCCTTCTTAAGGTGGGGGAATTTGATCCCATGACTGCTAAGACAGCATCAGCCACCGGCTACTAGGTGCAAATGATCCCGGCGTCGTCATCCCAATAATATTCAAATCGCTCTTTGGATCGGCCTTGGCGATGGTTTCTATCATTCCTACCCCCTATCCGTGACCGATGCGGATCCCCCGTCCCAGATGGAACTATCCATCACCTGCCCGTGCACGACCCTGATTCATTTCTGCTCATGAACCTTTCTTGACCTCAGATATCTGTTACATCTCTCGGCCGAACTCTCGTATTTTGCCTCTACCTATTCGTCGCCGCCGCTGGCCGTTGCGAAAGAGGTATTTCGCTGGTGTTGTATCATGGCCAGCTCGACAAATTTCTATCGCTCGCAGGCTGGCGGCTCATCGATCATCAACTATGGCTACACAGACTTTCCTTGGAGGCTCTTCGTAAAGGATCTCTATTACTTTTTCGCTCACTCTTGGTCTATTCCATGGATTCTTTGGCCTTTCTTTGTTTCCGGCTCAAACGGCTTCAATGAGTTGTCTGCTACATGGGGGAATATGTTCTGTGTCGCTCTGCACGTCTTCCTCCTTATTCTGCAAGGCGGATTCCTCGTCTCTCTGCCTTTGTGTCTCATTTTACCTGTCTGGATGGCAGTGGGCGGCATCGGCGTATTTGTTTTACTGAATACAACGCTGTGCAGGCTGCTGAATGGTAGCAACGCCACATATAAATCCGAGGCAAAATATGCACCGCCAAGGCCGGAACATGCTCACGAGCAATGGGTGTTTGTCAACGGGGTGTCTGTTGGGTGAGTAGAATGAGATCCATTCACTTCCACCTCTATATTGATGGCTTTTGCAGTCGGCACTGGCTTCAAGGGAATTTGAATCGGCTGGCCATCACTTTCAAACGCCCAATACTTGGCATCCACAACCCTACAAGTGGCATCATATTTGACCTCATAGAGTGTCTGATTCAGCGGAACTTTTCCTATGCGACCGCCGACGTCCGTAATGTGTACAGGGTCCTCAAGGACGTGTTGTATGACCCTGGAAAATCCAAAGTAGTCCTCATCCTCCATTCCCAGGGAGGTATAGAGGGTGGTCTGGTGATAGATTGGCTTCTGCAAGAGTTACCGCAAGATCTTCTCTCAAAGCTGGAGGTGTATACGTTTGGGAACGCAGCTAACCACTTCAACAACCCTCACCGTCATGTCATTTCTCAGCAATTGATACACAGATACCCCTTTCTTGCTGCCAATACCATCGTCACTGAGACTAGTGCGACATCTCCAATAACTCCAATCGAAGAACCGAGAAGAAGGCCTCTGCAATTAAGTACGGCCATGTTATCATCTTCACGCACCGCATTGACAGGTCAGGATCGTGCCATCTCGCATGTGGAGCATTATGCTCACACAAACGACTTCGTGGCTCTTTTGGGGGTTCTGCACTTCGTGACAAACACGATGGGCTCTCCGCAGATCCCTCGGTTCGTCGGTCGTCTTTTTGCTAGGTCCTCCGGAAATGGAGGTCACCTATTTAACCAACACTACCTCGAAGGTATGTTCCCGCTCGTCCAAGACCCGAAAACCGGAGAGTTCATTGGGGCCGATGAACAAAACTCCTTCATGGACGAGACTGCCGGCTTTAGCACAGAGAACGTGTCTATGGAAGACTCTAGAGAATCGCTTGAGGTCACCATTGCTAGCACATGGAGGCCTTCGTCCAACATGCCGGAGGTAGCCGTGGCAGTCCACGGGGTAGATCCAGAATTAGCAAAGAGGAAAGAAGAAATCAAGGTCCGAGACTTGTGCCGGCTATGGAGTTATCGAAATGGAAGGAGCCCCAAAGAAAGCCCACCTCTACTGTTTCTCGAAGGAGGCATCCCTCGAAATGCCACGCTATAGGGTTTTAGTGGACATGCCAGTGGCAGAGAGTGGAGGGCTGGGACGACAATTGCTTCCGAGGCGCCGAGGCGGTTAGTGAGACGAGATTGTATGCTGGCGCGAAGGCAAAACGCCTCAGACCCTTTGATGTCGCATTCCAGTCAGAGTAAGCAGGAGAGAAGAGTTTGAACTGCAAGACTCGGGCTCATCAGAAATTTTGTTATTTCCCCCAATTAGATTGCCTTATGAATTTGGATAATTTGGGCGGCCCTTCTCCTTCATGAGTGTGCTTGTGAATCAGCTGTGCTTAAGTTCCCTTCGCAATATCGTTGCTAGTCATAAGAGTTCAGTCGTAATCATATCATGAGCTCAGTTTATGAAAAACTCAACGGACTATGTACTTCTATCAAGATGATTCCGCCCGCAGTTTCAGCTAGATGAAATATATTGGCAAGTAGCTGTCGGGAAAAAGGGACCAGAGTTATCCAGAGAATAAGTATCAATGTCAAATAAAATAACCTCTATTGTGTAACAATGAATAATACTGTCTAACAATAAACTCAATCTACCAGTGTTTAAGCCATTACCCTCTAAATGTTATGGCCCCCTTTGCAGCCCCTCATATTCTAGCGCACACTTTATTCTCGGTTGCGATACTATTTCAATAATATTCTACTTGCTAAACCATGCCCTCAGTTCATGAATTATTGGCACCGAAGGGTCCATTGTCACACATACCCTAGACGGTCACACCTTGTGTGTTTGGGGTTTCGATGAACTCTCGAGGTACGAGAAGAGAAAAATAACAAGTCTAGAACTAGAAGGAGAGGAATACGAAAACCATGGTTACTTAGATTGGCTCCTCGGGTGGATATTCGTTCCCAACCTCGCATGTGCCGATAGGGCTTGGACTTGAAGCACAAGCGAGCATGAGGCGAACTATCTAATGCGAAGCACCCGTAGGAGAAGGAGGACATCATCACAGATCCACACATATACAACCGATTATAATCAGTACGGGTTTTCAAGGCATAAGCTTCGCTAGGCTTTTGAGCAGGATCAATGCGGGGTAGGGATGGCATTGGTTTTACTAATACAAAGGACCCGACGTTGGCTTCTAAGCATGGAAACCATTGGACGGGCTAGCATCATTGATTCTAACCATGGTGCTCTAGAATCCGTGGCACAAACTCATTCGGTCGCAGGAAGGGCAGATCCTACCAGGATCTCTAAGAGACAGGTTATTGGCCGCTATTGGCCGTAATCGTCTAGCCACGAGTACAAAGAAACTCGAACGACCATGGTTCGCGAAGCATAGACAAGGCAACTGACGTCCACTCAGCAACATACGACCCCGACTGGTCTTCTGATGGTGGGTATATGTCACAACCTCTATGGATGATGGTTGGGCTCTCCTGCAGGGTTGACAAATCGCTGATGCATAACAATCACGATATTGCCAGGTGGAATCGTATTTGATGATCGATAACAGAGTAATTTGTTCTGACAAAAACACACAGGGAGAAGGACAAAATCACGGAGGAATGTGCTATTATGGAAAGTCGACATGCAGGTTCCTGGCAAGGCACGGAGATTTTCTTAATCTTCCTCCCTTCTTTTTTTAGCAAATCAGATGGCGGAGGAGGCGATTTTTGTTCCGTTGCCACGAGGTTCTCAGTGCGCTGGCAAGGATGGGCCCTGGAGGGTGTGCACGCGTGGCATGCCTGTGAGGTTTGCCAGCATGTGCCTCTGCATGAGTTTTGTTTTGTTTTGTTTTGCTGACATTCCGAGACCTCAGGTCATTTAACCATTGGAAAGCTGGTGTGAATGGGTGTGCAATTTGAGGGGACAACGCACACGGGGGCGCTTAGAACTTCCCGACCTTCCCATGTTGGAATATTGGATGGTTGATTGGGGACCGGAAATCCCCGCCTGGTGTCCATGCCACCTCACCATGATCCTTGCTCCCACATGGGCAGGGCTTCGTGAACTGAGCCTTCTGAGGAATTGAAAGCCTAAAGGCCCGGTATGTCGGTAGATAGAGAATGGTGTGCCTCCGTTGCTAGCCATGGGGAATTAATTGGCCTGCTAGCGAGGATAAGCGAATGGTCTCCCGCTAAGTATTTGTGATGCCAAGATAGTACGGCAGATATTGACCGGGCAGCCAATGTGCCAAATCCGTCCCTGTACTGTGGTTGACCGGCTACGGTCACAACGATCAGCACAGCTGCTGCACCTGGTTGTTGGTAGAACGTTCAGGTGAACGATTATTTCTAGGTAGTGTGGGTGATGAATTAGAGCGGGCAAAGGTCTTACAGAATATGTCTCACTATGAAACTGGATCGTCTTTGCAGACCAGGTAGTTTGGGTTTGATCCGACAGGCCTATCTCGCGAGTCGACCAACCAGCTGAACCAGGATAATGGTCGGCGGATTATTCATCTCATTGTCCATCCGAAAAGCTGATGTCAAGAGCCGCACTATGTCACTTGCCCAAGCTTGGTTACCAGATCGTTGACTTCGATAGCAGACCTCAGACAACTTAGTGTCGCACGCTCTTTGTGATTTGGCCGCCTGTAACCCCTAGATGTGAAATCATTCTCCAAGATAC